TAGTGACCTTAAAGCCTAGCATTTCTCCACATGCCCTGCACCTGGGTTGGGGCATTCCCCAGTATCAACACAGGCTGGGGGATGAAGGGATTGAGAGCAGCCCTGCCGAGAACCACTTGGGACTGGTGGATGAAAAGCTCGACATGAGCCAGCAATGTGCACTTGCAGCCCAGAAGGTCAATTGCATCCTGGGCTGCATCAAAAGAAGTGTGGCCAGCCAGAGGGGGGAGGTGATTCTTCCCCTCTACTCTGCTCTGATGAGACACCACCTGCAGGACTGTGTCCAGCTCTAGAGTCCTCAGCACAGGAAAGACACAGAGCTGTTGGGGTGAGTCCAAAGGAAGGCCACAAAAATGATTATGGGGCTGGAGCACCTCCCCTGTGAGGACAGACTGAGAGAGTTGGGGTTGTTCAGCCTGGAGAAGAGAAGGCTGTAGGAAGACTTTGTAGTGGCCTTCCAGTACTTAAAGGCGGCCTGTAAGAAAGATGGGGACAATCTTTTTAGCAGGGCCTGTTGCAACAGGACAAGGAATAATGGTTTTAAACTAAAAGAGGGCAGATTTAGGCTAGATATAAGTAGGAAGTTTTTTACAATAAGAGTGGTGAAACAATGGACGGGTTGCCCTGAGAGGTGGTAGAAGCCCCATCCCTGGAAGCCTTCAAGGTGAGGTTGGACGGGGCTCTTAGCAACCTGATCCAGCTAAAGATGTCCCTGTGCACTGCCAGAGGTTGGACTAGATGACCTTTAGAGGTCCCTTCCAGTCCAAACTGTTCTATAATTCTATGACATCCCCTTCATATCTATGTTGTTCCTAACATTGTTATTACTCTTTTTAGCTTTGTTTCCAGGGGCCTTTAACTGTTGCATGAAAATTTCAGATGAAATTCCCAGAGGAATTCTCCGAAGAGTGGAGAACTTTGAAATCCAGAAAGCGGATGGCCTGTGTCACCTAGAAGCTGTTATGTAAGAGATGTTTTGGGCCCTTCACTGTGAAAGGGGTACTGTCAAGTTAAAACCTATTAGGCACCATTTAGACATGTAGAATCTTAGAATGCTAACACAATTTCAATGAAAAACAAGACTGTCTGTGATTTAAGAGCTGTCCTTCCTTGTGTTATTTAGATGTCTGACTGCTAAAATTGAATTTCCTTTTCAGTAATAATATTGACCGTTATTCAACCTGCACTAACTTTGACATTTGCTTTATTTTCTGAACTGAAGAATGGCTCATGCGCCTTAAGACTTCTCTGGTTTTTTCCAATTAAGGGCCTAGTGATCCTCTACGAACGTTGCCTAAAGTCATTAAATCAGCTTTACTTTTGTACATAAGCTATTGGTCTTTTCTTTTCTTTTCTTTTCTTTTCTTTTCTTTTCTTTTCTTTTCTTTTCTTTTCTTTTCTTTTCTTTTCTTTTCTTTTCTTTTCTTTTCTTTTCTTTTTGTGGCTGGTACAATATCACACTGTTTGGGTTAAATTGATAAATTTAAAAAAAATCCTGGACGTTTTTTATTTCTAGACAATTGCATGATGATCACAACAATAATAATAAAGTGGTATGCTTATTTATTGGCCATGGAAATGTATTGATTTGCACTGTGGTTCTTTTCAGACCCACTGAAGTAGTAAAGCTTTTTCCAGATTTTGGAAGACAATTGTAGTTATAAAAACCTTGGATCCTAACTTTTACACATTTGAAACAAGACAAAAATGACTAGATGTAGTGTAAAATGTAATTTAACATTAACCAATTCTAACTTTGTGGTCTTCATAGGTGAGTGATAAGTATGATTGTTTTAAAGAGTTTGTGGTTTTACATTTTTCTTTGCAACTGACAACCAATTTTTGCTCTGTCAGTCTCTACATAGAAGGCAGAAAGTTCTGTGTGAGTCCACGGATTAGAAAAGTTAAGAAGTGGATGAAGAAGAATAAGCACAAAATTCCCAGGAAAAAGCGTCATGGTAGAAAGCATAGAAGAACCAAAATTATAAAAAAGAGAGAAAAGAAACAGTAATATGATGAAGCAAGCCCCATGATGAAGATACCTGTGGCATTCAGCATTGTGAACAAAGATACCAGACTTCATCAACGATGGATGAGTGTAGCATTACAATGACATTTCAAATACTTATGTGCTAGAGAAAGCAGTGGCAGAAAACATCACCTGCACACAAGAAAGGTGCTGGTCGGATTACCAGCCAAATGACAACGTGTTCCTGACAATGTCTTGTAGCCAGTGCTTGCTGAACCTCCTAGATCTACTGATAGCCTTAAATCCTCCTCTCTCCCACTCTGCTTTCACGACAGCTTCCCCTGTGATTTCTGTTTTAACATGCTGGTATGCAATTCCTTCTCATTGCTCCATTTTCCTAGTCCCTTTCTTGGTCTCTTCTTCTTCTTCTTCCTTGTCTGCAACCCTCTTTGTTCTTTTGCCTGTTTTATTTCTATGCTTCCAGTCTTTTTTTTTTTTTTTTTTTTTTTTTGTTTTGTTTCTTACATAATTTTACAAATACCTTTCCAGATACTAGTTCAGTTTAATCTGGCCAAAAAGTCACATCTTTTAACTATTCCAAATAATCTCTGCTTCCAGCTGCTATTATCACAAAATATAATTTCAGTGATAATAATTGAGCCTGTTCATCAGGCTCAAAGTGCGGCATCCGAAGCTATGCAATAAAGATAATATCCATTGCTTTTGTTCATTCAATTCCTATTCAATCCTTCATCTGGGTCCCTCCTACCCTCTTTGCATGGACACATGCAGTCCTCAGTGCTAACTATGACGAACTGAGGAATCAAGCTAACACTGAGGATTGCATGTATCCGTCAAGGGCTTCCTTTGAAGACTGATGATGATGCCAGTCTGGCTACCCACTCCATTGCCTCCCTCCCGCTCCACGACACTGCCCTCTCCTGTGTGGCATAGTCTTCAATTCCCTCCCTCCTTCCTTGGAAACTTCAAAAATTTAATATTTCCACAAAGCCGTCTCAGTCAAAGGCACTTTTCCCCAGAGACGCATACATGGAAAGCAGCAAATGAGGGAAACGAGAGGTCTTAAAAAGAGTGAGTGCCATAGATGCATACTTAACGTATTTACCTAGTGAGACAAAAATGCTTAATACAGCAGCATAATTCTGTTCTTCCTCCTCTTCTCCTACTAATTACTGTTTGTTTTCGTTCACTGCATTTGACTTAAGTTAGCTCCTTAGAGTTGTCTCTTGTATTTGTTTTGTGACTGTTATGTCTAACTACATGCTGCAAACATGGGTGAAAGCACAGCTGAGGACAGTAGATAGAAGCAGCTGCTGGTAGGTTCCCTAAATAAAATAAACTTCTGGAGCCAGGACACTAAAGAATAGGTAGCATACTCCCACAGATGCATATCTGATGAAAGAAACTGGCTCTTTCCAAAACAGATAAGAGAAGACAAGAAACATAATTACCTTCTCTGATGAACCAACAGCCTCCTAACAAGATGAGACAACTCATCTCACTCTTCTTCCAGTTTCTAGGGGATATGTGTACACCATGTACACTGGCACAGGTCCATCCTCTGCCTGCTGAAATGGCATGCCAGGAGCAGGAGCTGGGATTGTTCTCTCTGACGCTGTACATGCATAGAAGCGCTTCCTCCTGAATGCTGTGTTTGGCATGCTGGGGAGGCAGAGGATGTGACCCCGGATGACACAAGCTGAAATGGTGCATGTTTTCCACCATTTCATTTGCACTCTGATGCTTCAGTGCCTGGACACCACACAGGTGTAGAGAAAGGGTATGAGGCAGAATCCAATCCTCCTGGGCTCAGGTCAGCAGAGCACCAGGAATGCTAAATTGCTGGTATATATTACGCTACAGTATCAGTATCCTGCTGTTTCTGGCACTTCTATTTATTTTCTTCCTCATGTTCTGCTCTGTATTCCAGGTTTACCTTCACTCATCCCTCTTGAATCACAGATTTCTAGATGGGTTTATAACGGCATCTCAGCTCCTTATAGCTTTTCCATCAGTGCAACCAGTGGCCTTTTGAGTCTACAGAGTGTATCCTAAGTATTGACTGAAGTATGGAGTGTACCCTAATTTCCATGCCTGTTCTATCAGAGATATTCAGCATTTCACAGGATTAGAGTATGTAACTAAATTTCCAGGCTGACACAGGCATGTCTGAGGCCCCTGTGGACCATCTGAATGTTTCACTTACAGAATCATTAAATATTGTCACTTGGTAAAGGCAAGTCAGGAAAGTTTGGGAGTTTGGAGAAAGAAGGGAGCGAAGTCAAGCTGACAGTATGGATAAGAAAGAAGTGAAACTGTGGCTTTAGATGAGACCACAGCAGCACTGCTATTGAGAGCTGGAACTCCTTGATACTCAGACTGAGGGAAGGGAAGGGAAGGGAAGGGAAGGG